TCTCCTTGGATCGACGCACATCCACACTACCGCTTACCACCCGTGTGCCAACGGTTTAGTCGAGCGTTTCCATCGACAGCTGAAAGCAGCATTGATCGCTCACGCTTATCCTCAAAATTGGACAGAGCATCTCCCGCTCGTACTTTTGGGGATCCGATCTGCAGTGAAAGAGAATTTAGGTTGTTCGACCGCCGAAATGGTTTACGGCGGCCCTCTCCGACTCCCTGGCAAGTTTGTTGCTGAGCCGAAGGAAGCAGTGAGAATAGACCCAACAATGTATGTTAATCGTTTACGCTCCTTTGTGAGAAATCTCAGAGCTCAACCAACGCGTTTACATACTCGCGCATCACAAATCTCCCCAGTGCTACAATATTGTGAATTCTTTTTCGTTAGGGTTGATCAGGTGAGGAAACCGTTACGGCCACCGTACATCGGCCCATACCGCGCTATTTCGCGCCGACCTAAATACTTCGTCATCGACAAAGGAGGTGTTCAAGGTACCATCAGCGTCCATCGACTGAAAGTAGCCCACGTTGATCCCACCGTATTCTCTCCTATCAACCAATCACAACGCTTATCTAAGCTTCCGCTTCACACGAACGACAGCAACTCAAAAGCCGGATAACTTACAGCCAGTTGTTCATACTCGTTCCGGTAGAAAATTGACATGGCCAACGAAGCTGCACAGTTACATGTCTTAGTAGCATTCCTTATCGAGCATTTATTTTGTTTATGCAACGCTCTAGGGGGGAGTTCTATGGTGGTCCTTCTGACCATTGTACTTTGGTACTTTCTTTGTAACTTATCATTGCTCAAATTTTACCACTTTCTATCTCTCACCAAAATCTCACCTTATTCCTCTTCTCTTCATACCGGATAACTTTTGTTTAAAGTGAACGAAAAAGAAATATGGAGACAATACAAATTCCGAAAGGCGTGTTCCCTTCTTGCTGTGTCGAATTACGCTGGCAGTGAATTAACGAGCGGTGATCTACCTTTCAGACTACGACGGGATAGAAAGTATCTAGGAATATATCAAGGAAGATTCCAGGAAGGAGATCGCTTTGGATTTATTGTGGTGGTAATAACTAACTGTACCAACGAACTGTGAGTTGTATCATCTCGTCTATTTTTTTCTCACTTGATTTCACTAATTTGAACTGGTATTTGCTCACGTTATCCACTACAGGGGTACCATTAGTTGCACAATACTTTTGGCTGCAAAACCTTTTGGAGTAAAGCAAATCTTTCTGCGTCAAAATTTTGTTGCGTATGTGCTCAAACCAAAAACAATTTCAACGCACCTCCACGTTCTCGCAGCTCACCAAGTTTCATTGTCCACTGAAGTCTTCATACCATCTTTAAGATCCCGAGATTCCTAAATGGGGTTTGGACTGGTACTCTGAACTTCATTGCCCGGTTGCTTTGGCCGATCAGGGACACGTCATAGCTGTCGAAAATTCTGTTCCAATGTGCAAATAGTGAGCTCCTCTTGGCTTTTACATGGATGAAATTTGAATACGCGCGCTTCCTGGATTATGCACAACCAACCAATCAGAATGCTGGCTTGTGGGTGAGTCGCACGCCCCGTGACCACGGCACATGTGGCCTGCTGCTAAAGGGAATGATGGCTTGGCGATTTTATGACTAGCCAACAACGAGGTACCTTCCGTATATGTCACTGGAAATAATGGGAACTTGAAGCCCACAAAGTTTATGTAGAATGTCTCATAATTCCATATAGTACTATCCAATAACCGAGCACTTTCCTTATGAGGGAATGTGTCGTAGGCAGCATTGTGTCGTTTTGGCCTTGAAGGAATCTGTGTGTACTTGGCAGACGGTTGTGACGAATGGCTGAGGCGGCGCTCGCTCCTCTCAAGGAGGGAGATTCCTTAGTTGCCCCAGACGGGACGTTTGACTTCTGAGGGAGTTTGGAGTTATCTTGACTTGGTAGGAAGTGGACGCACCTACACGATACTACTGAGAGTTTTAGGTTCTAATCTTTCGTTCCGGGATATTGTGCTGTGTTATAACACGCTCCTTGTTTATCTAGCAGTTGATATGTTCGACATCGCTCAACGCTTGTAAATTACCTTTATGACGAAACAACACACGAAGGTATGTTACTTTCAGAGCTACCAGTGTGGTGGAACTTCTAATGGAACTCCGTTGGTAGTTTAATAACATCGGTTGTCAAACAACCAAAAGCTGTGGCACCAGTGAGGGAAGGTAACAAATAGGAACTAGAGTATCGGCTTAAAAGGAAATCCAGACATACAGACGTTCAGGAAGCTTCCCCTGTTTTTTGCATTTCTCACAGAACGCCTCATGAGCCGAACACCGAGAAGATGCCCGCCGATTGCGTTCACATAAAAAGACATTCGAAGGGGCTGTTAGAAGACCGGTGTTTGGAGATTGTGGGCTACTGCGTTGTTCCACAGGGGCTGCCGTAGCTCTACATGAGGTTGCATTGGAATTCACACACAACTGTTGTTCATCATCATCATCAATGACAGTAACATCAGTGTTGGCCTTGATGCTTCACTGCCGCAACAACTGTTGTTGCTTCTGGACTGTTTCCCATGAAAGGGTGCTGTGAAATACGGACTGAGTGTGTAGTGTTTTCCGCTCGAGCAGATACTGGGGTGTCGCACACACTTGTAATCTAGTGATAAGAACTATCAGGATGTTGCCCCAACAACGGCCATTTTGTGGATCCTCTGCCCGCCGAGTTGAAGACAACCCTGGTATTCACGAAAACCATAATAGTTGGTCTTTGTGGCTTCGTGATTTGTCGTAGCTGGAAGTTCCTGTCAATTGAACCACCACTGTGAAAGCCAGGGCACCTCTGTTCATGGGCTCAGGTCGGGCTGCGAAGAACGAGGAATAGTGGAATCCTCGAAGATTGATATGAGAACTATCCCTCGGTGACTTGGTCAATTGGTTTTATGACCTTTTTTTGAAGATATGAACTATAACTCATCGTAATACGCTACCCATGAGTTTGCTGAAATCTCTTCGACAGTCCACGACTGTTCCACCCTTCTTTGGGGCTCATCAGGTAAGCGCATTCCCCGAGTCTCCGTCAGCTTCATGTTCTACTTGAACCAAAATTGCAGGAAATCCGACCTATACATTCATCTGCGTTTCAATTTAATTTGATGGAAAACTCACCTAGAGCCAAACCTATATTATTATTGATTTTTGTAGCGCACCGGAAACAATGAAAATTAATAAGACTGATGGAAGCTCAGGGCTGCATCTATCTGATGAGCCCTAAGAACGGTGAAATCACTCGTGGGCTGTCGAAGAGTTTTCAGCAACCTTGCCAGTAGCTTCCTTTATGAAAATATACTGCGATATCTCGAATATCGTGCCAACTGAAACCTGAGGCTGCCTGTGTGCAGCCCATTCAGTTGTAGAACATCATGAACGAGGGATTCAGCTGGGTTGCAGGTGAGCCTCTCCTCAAAACCAAATTGGTATCCAGATTGGCGTATAAGTCATAACTTCTGCCGTCCAGAAATTAGGGATTCACCATATTCCAGATTGTGGCAAGAGGTTGTGGGGTGAGGTGGCCGAAGTGGTTAGAGTGCGAATTTACTCACCTAGAAAGCGTTCAGCTGTAACACCCTTCCGGTGCCTAGCTGTCATGCTAGCCGAAGGAAGCACGACGGCTGGGATACTGCCAGGTTGCCCAAGCCTATACACGGGAAGTCGAGTGGCGGAGGTCAGATTCGAACCACGGACCTTCCGGTCAGTAAATTCGCGCTCTAACCACTTGGGCCATCTCTCCCTGACCTGAAGGTTCATGGTNTCCGCGTGGATTCCTGCCTAACACTTGGGCAACCTGGCAATATCCCAGCCCTCGTGCTTCCTGCGGGTGGCATCCCAGTTAGGCACCCAAAGGGTGCTACAGCTGAACGGTTATTGTTATTTTTTATTATTAGATTGTGGCAGACAAGCCGGTCACTTCTATCAGCAGTGTCGCCACCACATTCGAATAATTTCGAAGATGGTCCACCTTTGCCTGGGGACTTCGATGGGGGGGTGCAACTGAATGGCATATTTTTCCAATTGATAGATTTATGCAGCATTCTTTCGGTGCTTAACTGCCATGCCATCCAAAGAAAGCATGAGGGCTGGAATACAGCCAGGTTGCCCAAACCTAGACAGGGGAAGTCTAGAGGCAGAGGTGAGGTCAGTAAATTCGCGCTCTGACAACTAAGGCCGTAAATCGGCTTACATAGCACTTAGTGGAAGTTGCCATAATAGAAGCACCTTGGCTGAACTGGGACACGAGATGTTCTGTCCAACGGTCCGTCCGTCTTTGGAGGTTCCTAATGAGCATTCCGTCAAGTCCACGCATTATTTGACGTACGCTCGCCTTTGGGCCAGTTGCTCGGATTGGACGGGATAAACGGTGGTTTCACCGTCCACTCAAGCTCATTGCATACCTTCGTAAATCCCCCCTTTTCCCGCAGACTCTTGGATAACTAGCGGTCTATTTTTCTCTGCCCTGTGTTTTGGATGAGTCTGTGTGAAGAGGTGGGGGCGTCCAGTTGGGTTTATGAGAAAGAAACACTTCGGTGATGGATGAGCCAACCACGCTCGCTGATCGAGTCGTGTACTTTGCTTGCCATAGAGCCGTTTACCCTATAGAGCTGATTCATTCATTCATGTATTGGATGAATGCGACCGAAAGACAGACAGTTTGCCGCCATCCTGGAGAGGGACTTAGGGACTCTATGCGGTGATGATAAGCGGACACTGCACAGTTATACAACCAGCGGCGTTTTTACGTCAAAGCTGTTTAAATTCTCAGCCGCCAAGCCGAGCAACCAATAGAATTCAACACCAGCTAATTGACTGGATTACTATCTTCCCTACCTGTCCTCCTATTCTTCGACGAATGAAACTGTAGCAGCTGAGTCCAACTTACTCCCGGTGCGTTTTCTGTAGTCAGTTGACAGCGGTTTATCGTCTCGCAGAAGGTAGTCCCAAAACTGTAGGTTCGTTTAGCTGATTTCGCCAGAACTTTTTGACGATGAGTCCTGCTGTTTCAGGATGGAAGCAATGAAGAACGACTATGATGCCAGTTTATCACTGGCCACAGGCGGATTCGAACACATGATTCGCATGTGGCAACCGAGCACTGGGAAGTACATTCAGGGCTTTCAGCATCCTGAGTCTCAGGTTAGTCATGCGTTTTAAGTTGTATTTGACTTTCACAGGTGAATGCGCTGGCGTTTTCACGAGATGGACACTTTCTCGCTGCTGCTGGGTATGGACGTGTTCGTGTGTACAATACACATGGGGATGCGACGCCTGCAGTTGTCGTCTCCGAGTTTAGCAAGAATGTGAACACAGTAGGGTTCAATGACGAGGGTAATTGGATGTTTGCGGGATCTGAAGATCGTGTGGCCAAGATAATTGATTGGAGGGCTGGAGGCAATTTGTGGATCACGAGAGTGCACCAGGTACTACAGTAATTCAGTGCCTCAAGATCATGTTTCTCGGAAAGTGCCCAACCTTTTGGTTTATTGTGCTGTTCAGCATAAGTTTAGTCTGTTCTAGTAACATTTCGCCAAACCAATTAAGCATTATCCCAGAACCCGTAGAATAACCTGTTTTTATACCGTCATAGTTGAACCTCTCTTGTGGTTAGGTATGTTTTAGTATCCATGGTACACGAGATCCCATTTCTAGATTTTCTTCGCTCCGGTCCATCTTAAAACATCTCAACTTACCCATCGGTGCTTTGAGACTGGCACTGTATGGTGCCCCGCAATTCAGCTTCCCCCTTCAAGATCTACCTTTAGTTTGGGCAGTTCCATAACACATTCACTTTCAATCGATCACCAAGGGCTTGGTATGTCTAAATATCGAGACATGTGAAAGTGCGCCACACCTGCACGGATAACCTCTCGTCAGGTGCCTTTATTCAGTGCCAGATTTCTGCTTCGCCTAAACCCATACGAATTCTTTCTTTATATCGGAGTTCCGGTTTTCCTCGACCTCGACTGTTCTTCAGTTGTCTATGCAGTACTTATTAGGGAGTGTGATTCGATGCCATGCATTCCACATGACACAACCAGCGTAGCTCCTCCCTCTTCTCTCTGAGTAAGTGAAAATTAAGTGGAAAAAAATGCATCTACGCCTCTTCCGAATTTCGGTATTTTCTGGTGATCACGATTAATATGGAGATTTATTTAAAATGTTGTGATCGTCGCATTTCAACTGTTAGTGGTTTATCTTCATTCTAGCTTACATATCTATCCACCAACAGTGGTGAGGTCGAGGAATTTGGACCCACTTTATAGATGCTAGTTATGAACATATTCATACAAGCCCGTCAGGTGACGCTGATTGTATTCACATGCCAAGATACATGGCCAAGACACATGTCAAGACCAAATACCGTTTTGGTTAGGTGGTTTGGTAGCTCCAGGACACATTGTTAGAAAAATCAGCGAAACTGAATTTGATAGTACATAAAGAGAGACACATCTAGACGGTGTATTATCAGGACATGTATTTGATAGGCACTTCTGAAAATACTGCTCGCAAGCAAAGCACCAGTGCCCTAAATAGGGTGTCCAGGCAATCTTTCAAATGTGTCGTATATTTAACAAAATATCATACTCATAGCATTCAGGCTTCTCCTATTGTATTTATTTAAAGCTCATGATGTCCGCATATTCTGACTGCAATAAGTCGATATAAATCCAACTAGTTTTGACGATACTCAGCCTGTCAAGAACTAAAACTCATGGTTTCGTTCAGCAAGCATCAACATCAAATGATAGCCCTTGGAAACCACGTTACCTTTAAAATAATAATTGAAGGAATATGTGCGCACTTCCACCCATGTAACGATGTACACTGTTGATGCGGCTGCCGTCCGTGCATCTGATGGGAGGTTGGGAAAATTGTTGAGCGGTTTTAACTATTCGATCAACTTTCAGAAAATGAGGGTACCTTTGAAGATGTCGACTTTCTCAACAACTACTAATGTGGTTTTTGCCTTTATGTTCGGTAGCCTATTTCTCTCTCTTGTTGGCACGGTGGCCAGGGTCTGGATGAAGATTCCGTGGGAGTAACCTTTTGATTACGGGGCTTTTCGAGCGTACTGGGAGGAATACGAAAATGTGACCACGGTGGCCAAATTGAAGACTTACCGGGCTGAGTTGGCCGCACTGAAGGCTTTCCTCAAGGCCCAGTCAAACCGAAGAATTCACTGCCTTAAAGACGTGCGTCGGAAGAGGTAGATGCTAAAACTGTGGCATGGGTGGCCGTTGGAAGAACGAGTGTTGCCTCAATCGACCTGTCAATAGTGGCTCCGCCTGCTAGTCTTTTTCCGAGAGAACTTCATTTGTTGCTGCGACGCAAGTTTTGATACAGGGATGTTATTGAGGCAGAAAGGGAAGGAATCTGGAAACAAACCGTGCACACTAGAAGTGAGGGAAGTCGATTGAAAGCCGATTGTTATTGCATTCAATACGCGTAGGCAATAAAGCAGTGCAGCACAAGTTCCTTCCAGGTCCAGAGGTTAAGCAGATGGTTTTGGGGCAGGTTTCCTCAGGAACGTGAAATCGTGTGTAGACCTAACGGCAAACTTCGCACAGTCAGCCTTGAAGGTTACCCCAGCGCTGCCGTGAAAGAACGAAGTCTTCCACCTTGCGGTGCAATACAGGCTACGATCAAGGATAACGCAGATCTGTTCATGGTGAGAAAGACCCGTGTGCCTGTGGGTCAAGCACGAAATTTCCCTGTTTTCCGGAGTTCGAACCTGGCGGTCTTCGTCATTGCTGCTCCATCTACAGAGGAAGTCCACAAGCAAGTGCGGGCACAATGGGTGAGGCTAGCAGTATTTACGATTCCCGGTGGTCTCGGTCAACAAGCCGAACGGGAACTACAGATTTTACGTGGATTTTTGGCCTTTAAATGAGTCAATCCGAAATCCGATGGCAGGCAATCCTTCAGTCTTGGTTTTTTTTAATTCACTGCAGCGGTCTCGTTGCACTGCTTGGTTTGTGGTCTGGATATAGACAAAGGTAGTGAGAAAACACGTTTACAGCTGAGAACACTCAATACTGTTCCCAAACTACATTCGGTAGGTTTTGGGTGTGGTTTGGAAGCAACTCAGCGGTCAGGACAGAACTTACTGGTCGGAAGATCCCTGTTTCGAACCAAACCCTAGATTTTTGACTGATTCTGTCCCAAGTTTTTATTGACCCGGTATTATCTGAGCTCTCGTGCTTCTTTCTAGTTTCACGGCAGCTGTAAACCCAGCGAGTGCCAGATCTGAACGATGATTATTACTATAGGTTAGGCTTTAAAGTTTGTTTATTATTACGGCGTGATTCACGGTGTTCTCACTCACTTCAGCGGATATCCTTTGGCTTTTGTAAATCTCCATGATATTCAGTGTTGTTGAGGTGAATGATTGCAGTTCAAGTGTTCATAGAACGAATTCAAGCATAGAATCTACACATTTAATGTTTTGATATTTCCCTTAATCCTATTAGTTTTCCTATTAATTAGTCATATTAGTCGTCAAGGCATGTAGGCTCTAGTAACTTGAGCTGCCTCGTTACTTTGTGTAATACACGGATAGCTTTGTCGCTAGTTCCGCCTCTACCAACCGTTTACCAGTTGCTGGTGATCCAGTTTCTGTCTCCGGTTGTCTACACTTATTCCTCCTTCATAGTTCTACTTTCTGCATTAGGAATGGTGACGCCGGTTAGTAAACAGTATCATATCACTGTTAAATAATATTTGATCCTAATGACGTGGCCAATTGTTGTCTTTCATCGATTATCTGTTAGTTAAACAGTATGCATTTGAAAATACACTAACTTCATTCGTTTTGAGGACCGATGATAAACGTAATGTTACAAACATGCAAGCAGGTCCCACAAAGTGCGGAATGATCCAAACGAGTCACAGCGCTAAGCTATAAAAGAATGTTGGTCTGGACACAGTCCTACCAACACCTACAACAACCCAAAAATTTGTACATGAATTCGGTTGGCAATCAGTTTGTATGGTCACAGGTTTTTTTTCAATATTTGTTTGTTTCCATCTATCGAACTCAAGAGTTCATCGGAATTCGTGACATAGAACACCGTATTTAACGACGTCGTACTATTAACTCGGCTTTGTGATGGACAAGAGTTCGATCACAATGGGCTTCAGTGCGTTTTATTATCTCCTATTCGGGATGTCAGGTTCAACCCAAAGTCCCAGTTCCGATCGGGTAAACGTTTTCTTCACAGAACATTTACCTATCCGTTTGCATTGTTTCCTTTATGGAACATTTAGCTATCTTAGCGAATATACACTCATCTGCAAACTAATTTGGTTCTTTCGAGAGACTCACCTGGAACCCAGCTGAATCTCTCGTTTTTATGATGTTCTCAGGCAACTGAATGTGCTGCACCAGGCCGCCTCATGTTTCAGTCGCTACGATATTTGAAATATCGCGATACATGTATATTTGTAATGTACTACTCATTTAGCTATCTGTTTGCATTTCGGTGGTCTAGATTCTTGACCGACTACCTTTCATTGGAAGATCCAGTTGACGTGGTGGGACGTTTTCTCTCTGGTTTTCACAATTACGACCACTCAACAGCTCAAAGTACACTATGAGGAATCTTAGCTGCCGGGCTTCGGGTTAATTGTTCGGACTAAGGAGCCCTCTTATTACGTGGTGAGATTGATGGATTTTATACATCATCTTGGTGAAATAACTTCTGAAGGTGGGCTTAAATTATCTGCGTTCTAGGGTATCGTTTTCCTCCTGATGGAGCCCCCGCCTTGTGTGATGCTTAACGTCCAATTGAAGCCATAGTGGTCTACGTCACATTGCTTTCAAGGTTTCAGGCAATAGATTGCACCGTTGTCGGACCCGCAGGTTTGTCTGTTTGTCCCACTCTGCTGTATTTAACAAATAAACCGTTTTTATTTTCTACCTAACAAGAGATTGTGTAGTGGTACTCACTGGACATATATTCAAGCATGCTAGCGCCTCATCGTATCATACCTTTATAAGGTTCCAGTTCAGGACGTTGGACTCAAGTAACCTAAGCGCCACTGTGAACCTCTTAAATAAAACTCAACTGCAATCACTGCTCCTTTTACCACCATAGCTAGACGGGCGCTGTTCCGAGTGCATGGTTCTTCTAAACTTATCCTGACCATCTTCACTCTCATCTTGTCACCTTTAGACTACCTCGAGCATTAACTCTATGTTACTTCATCGGAATCAACATGAAATTGTCATGGGCACAAGCAAAGGTGAAATCATAATATGGGATCTACGTAACAATGAATCCAACATTCTTCGTCCCGATCCACAAAACGGACCGATTCATAGTCTTTCGGTCAACCCTGATATGACCTCCCTTGCTGCGGTGAATTCCGGTGGCCAATTACTTGTCTGGTCATTGACAGGAAATTCCACATGGCAACCTATCGAAAAGGTAAGATTTAAGGTCTTACAACACTGCTTTGCTTTATTGCGATTTACTCCTGAATAAGAATGGTTCGCCATTTATTTCGGAAAAATCGACTGTGAGGGAAGATAAAATACTATATCATTTGTGTCTCTTCGAAACTCACAATTGAAATCTTTGATACACAGTCACAGCAAAACTGATTCCTCTTTAGGAGGAACATCAGCATGATCAACCAGTCTTCTTTTGTTTTATAAGGGGGTCAGTATTCTGAATAATCAAGGAAACATAGGTGTATATCAGTGCCACCATTGTTTTCAGAGATATTTGCTTCCTGTGCGTCTTATCGGCCTTGTTTGAATTTTAGAATTTAAACACTGGATTAGATTGATTGCCACCGCATTGTTGTAAATCGCCTAATTTTCAATGGCAACATGCTTGGTTTCCTCGTTATGATCCATAGGCCTGGAAGGTGGACTTGTGAGGTTACTCAGTTAACACCGTTCTAAAGATTTTGACGTTGAAGATTTTCCCGACGATTTTGTCATGCTTTTCTTTAAAAGTACACGGGTTTGTGCCAGGTATCACCACTGTGGAACGTCCTACTCCTTACAGGCTGATCAGTACACGGTTAAAAGCTAGCCCAACATCTTTAGAACACTAAAACCAAAGGACCTTGAGACCTGGATTGACAGTCGAATAGGATATCCAGTTAGCATGGAGGTCAGTCTAATAACTTCTGTATGTTAACCTGACCCCGGTAGAACACAAATTGGTACAAACAGGACCATTGCCTTCAAATTACGACTCAACCCGGCAAAACCGGCTCAGTTGCGGGTGCCCTTTTCAGTCGCCCTCATCTGCTGCTTAAGACCTATCACATGTTGCGTTTATTCAGTCAGTCGAACTGTTTCGTGATGTACACAAATCACCGCCTTCAAGGTTGAACATGACTAAACACACGCTATTTACCTGATTTGACTTTAGGTTTGGCGTTTCCTCGCAGGGGTTGTCTCTAAAGGGATTTAGAACCCACTGAAATGGGAACCGACACAGATCTCCCATATGAGCTTGCTCCGGGGTAAAGTAACTTTTTCGGTATGACAATTCATCATCGACAACATGCTATCAGTGTTCAGCATCGATGTTTCGCTGCCGTACAACTATGATTTATTTGAAAGCCTTGTTGTGAATAAAAGAATAAAGGTGGACGGTGAATAGACACTACCTACAATCATTCCGAGGTACTTACACCTCCAAACACTCATTCAGACAATCCGGATAGGAACCGAACACAAGATCCCACTGACATCGGTTGGTAGCCATATCTTGCAGCGTCCCCAACTAGGCGCTGTGAGGATCACGCGGTCCCTATCCTGGAAGGCGATTAGCACCGACAGCACCCAAAGCTATCGTAATCTCCATACGCCTCTGCCAAGTCAAGCGTTGGCCACCTGTCTGTTTCCGCCACTCTGAATTGCGCATGGAAAACAGCACTCTCTTCGGCAAACGATGGTTCGGCATACGCAGCACATGTCCCAACCAACGCAGCTTCTGGTGCTGGACACATTCTTCAATGGAAGTACCCGTTACACAACCGAAAACACGCTTTCTAACTGCCTCGTTACGGATTCACCGACACCAACCCACACGAGCTATGGTTCTGAGACAGCGATTGTCGAACACCTGAAGACGTCTCAGTTCCGCTGCTCGAACAAGCCAAGTCTCAGCCATACTACAAAACATCCCGCACTGTAACTTGATACACACGTCCCTTGAGACTCAGGGATACACCACGCCATAGGTATTTCAAATTAGCAAACGCGACCCGAGCCTTGCAGGTTCGTGCATTGACCTCATCTGTCGCACTACAATCACAACTATTACAACTTCCAAGATACGCAAAACGTTCCACAACTTTCAGTGCCTCTCCCTGGATTGTAAGTGGCGTGTTCAGTCGCTGCATGTCCAGGAGCATGACCTTATACTTTGTGGGTGCAAAGTGCATACCAAAGGATGTCTGGTCAGTTCATCCAAAAACACTTGCGCCTTCTCCTCTTATTCGAAGATGAGAACGATGTCGTTTGCATATTCCAGATCGACAAGGTTTTCGTCACAGACTATCTGAAAACCGAGGTTTTGGGGACCTTCCATCGTTCGTCTCATGGTTTCATTGATCATCAAGTTAATGAGGAATGGAGAAAGAGGTACCCCTGACGGATGCCACTTTGTGTACAAAAGCCTTTGGAGAGCTCGTCGTATACTCCCACACGTCCGAAAGTGCGGGAATACAGGGAGCTTATTATGTTCACAAACTTTTGAGGTATCCCATAGTGGGCAACCGTATCCAGCAGAACAGACCGGTCGACCGAGTCCAATGCGCCTTGAAAATCCAGGAACACTAGGATTGTGGGTATGGCGTTGTTCTAGCACCTGACGGAGTGTGAAGATTCGGTCAACACGACCCCTACCAGGCCGTAATCCCGCTCGCCACTCTCGAGTCAATGTTTCACGAGCCACCGTAAGGCAACGAAGCACCAGAGACGCCAACAGTCTCGTTACGACTGCGGTCACGTTGACCCCCCTGTGGTTGCCACACTCACTGCGTGCCCTCTTTTTTAAAATGGGCACTATCACTGACTCTCCACTGTTGTCTGGGACAGATTCTTTCTCCCAAATGCAAGCAAACAGATCAGACAAGCATTGACTGAGGACTTCAGCCCCCTCTTTGAACAATGCGGTTGGGAGGTTATCCGGACCATGGGCTCGGTGGCGCTTAAGAGAACATATGCAGTCGTAAACCTCCAAGGCCGAAGGCGGTTTTTCGTCCACCGTCCAGGGTTCTACGTCACCTGTGGGCTCTAGATGGATGCCAGCTGGTGGTCATGACAACTGTTCAAAGTATTCAGCCCATCGGTCGAGGCGTTCTTTATGCTTGATGGCATGATTTACGATATCTACGTGACCTACAAAACAACACGAATCGCATCTTTCGTCTGTCTTCCTCTACTTGCAATTGTGTTGGCCAGAGCCGAAATCAAATATGCCACACCGAACATCAATGTTGGCACTGATGCTTCACTGCCGTACAACCATAAAGTTCGTTTAGTTATATATATATGTATATAATCGTATTAAAAGCCCTACAGTGAAGAGAAGAGAAAAAGAGTCGGTGAGGGAGGGGACCTAGTGCTGGCCTATGTCAAGCATACTGAGGTGCCTACACCTCCAACCGCTCAATCAGACAATCTGGAAAGAAATTGACAGCACGAACGCCACTGACATCGATTAGCCGCCATTTCTTGCAACACCGGACGAGTCCATTCAATACCCCTAAAAGGTATTTGGCGAGGGACAGAGAAAATTAATCTTTTGTTATAACGTCTGGTGATCGACGCTTGCTTTATTTAATCGTCTCTTCAACTCACACCAATAGAGGTGATCAGGAGGATTCAGTCTGTTGGAACAAGGTTTTCCTCAACACTTCTTCCATCTTATTGCTAGCAGCAGAACAGCAGTTGATGGACCGCGGTCGTACACCACGTGATATCTTCACGATGTCTACAACAGGCGGGAGGTTACGTTGCCATCGTCCAAGCATCTGTCTTCTTCCATTCACTAGACAAGTTCTTCCCGCAACCGGTTGGTATCCCATTGAAATGCTTTTGAATATCACGTCCGGTTCCTCTCTGTGCGCTTCTGAAAGGGTTCGTTTGATCAATGTTTTTGGTGCAGTGCCTGTCGGAAGAGTAGTTGACATGCCTGCACGGTGGTGAAGCACCAGTGTTCTCATCTGACGTTGATGTCAATGATGATGATCCTCCCCTTGAGGATACTTATCCTTCAGGCGTCAGCGCCATCGACGTTCTTTTTCGTCAGTTTGTCAACCTCGTGTTGCTGGCTTGTCGCGTATTTAGGCAAAATTTGGCTGAGAGGTGGAAGCTACTGCGGAACTTAGCAACATCAAAGACAATAGTACAGTAATCGATCCGAACAAAGTTTTGTGAAGGACTATTCCTCGTGACTTCAGGATCTTGTATTCTTGGTAATGATTGGTACAAATGAGCTGCATCAAGAACGGGACAATCACTAGATGTTGGTCCGTCTTCCTTATGAAGGCCTGTGCTCTAACTCAAGCTAAATAGCTCGTGGTCTCTCCTTGTATACTGCTGTAACTCCTTTAAGCTGAATGGCCCTAACTTCCCTCGTACCTCATTACTTTCGTATCCCTAGACTGCGTTTAGCGGAAAATCAGTCTGTTTGTGTGATTATGATCGTATCTTCTCAAAAAGTCCTGTTCCTTTGATATTGTGAGTTCTTTCAAGTAGACACTTCTGAGTAAATCATCGCTCTGTTTCACCAGATTGATTGCCATAAACTTTTACTTAAAAGCGAAGCAATAAATCGCCGGCTTCTAGTATTTTTTCAGCTCATCCTGTACAATCACTTTCATTTTTCAAATCCCGTTTACTTCTATTTCAGCGTCGATGTAAAGTTCACTCTACCTATGCTCTAAAAGTGCTGTTTTCCCCGGACAGTACACTTGTTGTCACCTGTGGAGCCGACGGACATTTCAATGTACTCAAAACCGCCGATTTCAGCACCGTATCACGTCATAAAGTGACATCGTCTGGACTGTATTGGGTTTGGGACTGTGCTTTTTCTGCAGATTCGCGCTTCCTTATCACCGCTACTTCGGACGGCGTCGCCCGCCTATGGAACTTGGAGACTGGTGAAGTCCCCATTGAATACAAAGGACACCAACAAGCTATCACTTGTCTTGCCTTTCGGGACCACTCGCTTTCTTAAACGACAGTCTATGAATACAGATTCTACCTGTACAGTGTAATTTCAACTACTTTTTATTAATATGTACCTTTATTTTGCTTCTGATAAAACCGCGATATTTTCCGACTGATTTCTGACGAGAAAACACCACCATCTGAGCGAAGGTTATGGAGAAACGTTATTACTTACACAGCACTAGGCCCCTGAAAAAAAACCGAAAATGAGGGACCTTGTTTTTTCGAGTCGAAACGTAAAGCTCCCATGTCGTTAACCCAGATCCAATCAGTGATCATCATTTCAAATACTTCATTTCATAATCGACATTGGCGACCTCTCTTCGACTGGGATTACATTGACTAGGTGATTTAGCACCGTTTCTTGAGTGGCGCCATGTCCTGTGAGAGCTCATCACACTGCTGATCCGCCGCTCGTAACCAAATGTCTAAGTGTTCAATCAATGGTCAGAAGGTCGCGGGTTCGAAACTTTGAGTTGCGGGTGGTTCGCACTACTGATGATTCCCAGGAAGGATGAAACGGCTGGTCCTTGTCAACGTTTAACTGGGTGAAAAAACATCAGGTCTTAGTTACCCTGTAATGCACTACTCGTAAGGTTGCTGAAAACTCTTCGACAACCCACGACCGGTTTCGTCCTTGGGGCTCATCATGTAGGCGCAGTCCCCTAGTTTCCGTCAGACTTATTTCTCACTTGGGACTTACCATTTTGTGTTGGTGCGCTAGGTTGGGGAAACCTGGCAGTATCCGAGCCCTCGTGCTTTCTTTGGGTGGCATGACAGCTAGGCACCGAAAGGGTGTTACAGCTGAATGATTATCTATCTTAGCTAGTGTGTGTGCAAGATAACCTAATACCAAGAAATCGGAATTCTTTCTTACCCTCCCGAATGCCAGTGAATAATGAACACCCAAATGCAAATGGATCCTTATTACTTTAGTACAAAAAGCTTGCTATACGGCTTGTATTGTCCTCCTAGGGTCTACTGGACCTGCGAGTACAGTAAGTTGGGTCCTCTACGTAAAGCCAATGACTATTCTATTCCAAATCCACGTGGGCAATGAAGTAACTAATAGATTCAGTCGAGTATTTTGGTGAGAGGAAGGCAGTCGTGACTCTCCGCCTGCATACTGTAAGTGGTTTCTGCGAACTTTCCAGCCAACAACTCAATTCAGTAACATAATGAACAACATTTTACTTAACTGTTTATGCCTCTGCTCCGAAGTTTATCTTTATTATGCAAAATTGTACTAAATTAGGTATGTGAGAACCGACGATGAGTTGGTCATTTTGCCTGTGTTCTTTATACGTGAGAAAAGCTGTTATGCTGGGTTAACGAATGAGGAAAACCGACGAACCACCATGTTGTGTCCTTGAGACATCTTTTAGTCTCGAACTGATTGGTACGGCTGAGAATTTTGGGGTCTGATCATGCGCTTGATCAGTTACTGGGGCGGGGCTGGTACAAAAAAGAATCCTAATTTTGCCTCCTTGCGTCAAGACGAGGTCTTAGTTGTTTTGGGCGGGAGATGAAATCTAACAGTGAAATCCCAGTCCAGTACTTGCGTCCTTGACGTGGGCTAAATAAGAAATCCTTCCCTTCAATGGCCTATTCCAAGCGGTGATGTGAACCTAACCCAGTGGGAACATTTCTAATCAACACAGAAACGACTTTAACTATGGTTACCGACCATTCCATATAAAAAAATCGAACCATGAAGTAGTTGAATGAAAGTTTTTGTACCAACGCAAAAATCAAATCCAGAGCACAGAACACTCTGGGCGGACCCCTGCCATTAAGGGTATGTTGTTAACAGTACAAACTGTTTTCTATAGAGGAGAGTGTCGGTAGCTCAGGTAGCGTAGATGGTCATTGGCTTGTTCGCTGAGCTGGGCACACGCAACCACTAACCCACCGCTACGTACAACTACGCACTGATTATGTCACCTCGATTGCTGATGAAACGTTTGCAACCAAATTGCCCAGCTTAGCGAACAAGCAAACGACCAAGTACAAACTGTGGTCATCAGACAAGTTGAAAAGTTACCGCGTAAGAGTCTGGGAAACTTCCATTTGATTGCTGTTGGAAAAAGCGTCAACCAAACCCAAAGCAAACAAACGAACATTTTCAGAGCGTAACAGTATACTTGTTCTTCCTTAGTCACTGTTTTTTTATCTAAAACTGCGTGAGCAGAAACATAGTGGTCACGCACCGTTGGTCTTTGGCGGACGTGCCCTCAGCCAATCGTTTAGCCTTGATTTATTCCCATATTGAAGGTGATTCTAAGCTAAATTCGATCTTGTTTGCCAGCCGATTTGACGCGCACGTGATTTTCCAGACCATTTTTATGTTCGACGGACTAAGTGATACTGGAAGGTTACCAAAGCACAGACCCTGTAAAGCGCACTGTGACCGAAATCTTGATATGCTAATCCGTTCAGATCCTTTGGGCGGGATGAAAGTTAACTTTTAGTTTCAATCACTTTTGTTGCGTTTTCAAACGGCGTTATATAGATTCATTTAATTCAATAAGCCTCAGCTTTGATCGGTTCCAGTGTCCGGCAGCTGGGTGTCTCTTGCCGCCCTTGAAGTTGGTAGCGCGGGCGAAATAATGGCAACGGAAAAATAATGAGGGGTATTTGGGTAACTTGGTGGATGGGATCATACGGACCGAAACTCAAGCTCAGACCTAATCAAATGAGTTTGCATACATACATACTCACGACCGCGGCATGAGTTACGACAGCGAGCGTCCCAGACTCTGAGACTTTTCAACTGTTCACGAGCCACGAGACGAAATTCACTACATGGCGTAACTGAGATTTTTTCACCTACTGAATAGTGATCGTTGGCCTTGTTCGCTGAGCTGGGCAATTTGATTGCATGCAGCCACGAAAGCAGATCGACCACATAATCAATCAGTTGTGGCTGGTGACGTAAATCAGTAACTTACTTCCTCTCTCTTGCGAATACTGATTGGATTATGATTGTGCAGTGAAGCAGTGTTTTTTTCGTTGCTTCTCGGGGTAGTGAAAACAATGGAGACCAAGCTTATCAAACCGGATTTTCATAAACCTGTCACACTGGTACGTGTACTCCTTCCTCGCAAAAGTCAGTCAAATCTGTGTATAGCGTCGAAATTTTTGGCTGTGGTTAGGTGCCAACAGCCTTATTCAGACACTGAATATCGGACAATCGGATTACGTGAATCTTAGTCGTGCTCTTTCCAGGACAGAACAAAATACATGTGGACCGAAAAACCTGGTGGACGGTAAAGGGTGACGAAGCGGAGAGGAAAATTGCGGAAGTGACCGACACTTATTCCCGTTAATTCGTTAGCATGTTTCTGAAAGTCAACTGTGGGTAAAATCATTGAGGATCATAAGGGCCTGGTCATCTCCAATAGAAAACGCCCGAAGTATGGGGCCGGGAGCTCAACCACAGATCTCACGGTCTCATACGCCTATTCAGCCGGATTCTTGGTCTACATCAGAACTCCGGAGAGCAAGTTCGGAACTCCGTTGATTTCGGATATATTCAAACAGTCACCATCAGACTCTTAGTGCCTACTGTCTGTCATCCACAGTACTGAAGGATCATGGTAGATCCGTAGTTAGTTAGTATTAATCTTGGATTGTCTTCGGTAAGAAAACATCACACGTAATGACGCTGATTTTCAAACTGGACCTCGCGGTGAGTGTACTGTAAATATAATACATTCGTCCTATTTAAGAACTATTAGCGTGTTTAAGGGAAGATCTCCGAATCTTGACGTCCGGCAGGGAGTCCCACTTCCTTCTGTTTACCTTAACCCAACCATAGCTCGTGTGGGTTGGTGTCGGCGAATCCGTAACGAGTCATTTAGAAAGCAAGTTTTCGGCTGTGCAACGGATACTTCTATTGAAGAATGTATCCAGCACCAGAAGCTGCGCTGATTGGGACATGTGTTGCTTATTCCTAACCATCGTTTGACAAAGACAGTGCTGTTTCCCGTGCCGAATTTATAGTGGCGGAAGCAGAGAGGTGACCAACCCTTTTCCCGGCAGAGGGGTAGGGAGAAAATTACGAAACGTCTGGGTGCTGTTGGTGCAACTCGCCTTCGAGGACCGAGACCGCGTGATCCCCACTGGTTGGAGACGCTGCGAGATAAGGCTGCTAACCGATGTCACTGGCACTCTTGTCAGTTTCTATCCAGATAGCCTGAATGAGTGTCTGGAGAAGTAGGCGCCGCGCAATGACTGTAATAAGCTAGAACTATGTCCTTCCCCCTCCATCTTTATTCTTTCCTTCACAATAAGCTTTTCAAATAAATCACAGCTGAACGGCGGCGAAGCATCGGTTTTGAATACTGATGCCACGCTGTCAATAACGATGATGACGAATGCTTGAAACACGAAAACAAGCTGGACGGATCGAACTGTCGTGCGTTCTGTACAAGGTACTGTCTGAACGGCTCAACGAAATCCTCCTAGAGGCGTCGCCCAGCCGAAGACTAGTGCCAAACCTCGTAACCCATAGAATTTTTCGAGACGGTTTAGTCTACCAATTCAGTATTCCTCTTGATTACTCCGTATTCTACAGTAAACATCACAGATGTGATGTTGCCAAATAGAGCAGAATACCGCTAATAGTGAACAGATTCCGGGACATAATTTCTACTCCTGAGTGAACTCTACCCGAAGCTAATACTAAACTTCATACGGGATGGCAATTTCCTGTGCCAAATTACAGCACAGAGTAGACTAGTTCGGAGACTAAGCATTCTCACCACTCTGCCTCTGTGAGGCCTATCTGATCATCATTTCTAAAAGAGCTGTTTGTTCAAATATTTCTGGTGGAATTTGGAAAAAGGATTCTAACAAAGGCTCCGCCCCTAGTTCTACTACAGTTTCACTCACTGCTTTACTCAATAAACGCAGCAAACAGTTCCTTCCACTTAACGTGCAGTTAACCCCAACCTTCTAATTTTGGTGAACATTTGAAAGATGACGGATTGTGGTGTTATGTTCGCGAGTTCACATGGTCTTTTCTTTCATGTCCACCAATTTGGTTATTTTTGATAGAATTCCTCTTTCAGTAATTTAATGTTTTCGCGCAGTATTCCACCTAAACTAGGCGGAACTGGCTAAGGCAGTAAGCGCAGCACACTGTGTACGACGCATAAACCTGAGGAAGTCCATTCGATTTTCTATCACTGTCACATAAAAAGATGGGCGCGCGCGCCCAAAGTCTCTTCAACATTTGATCGAAAGTTGCTGATGGTAATCTCCTTCATCAATCAACCTGGCCCCAAAGAATCCGGAGCTAATGTGCTTGAGAAGAAAAATACCCCACCAGTCCCATGGGTGTTCCATCTGCGAGATCGTTACTCAAACAGCCAGTCAACACGTGACAGTGGGAGACGAATCACGTGATCGAAGGTAAATGGCACCACACTCAATTGCAAATCGACCAAACTACTAGCCACTCACTAGCGGCCAGACGGTATGATGATCATTCACTAACCTGGAAGTCGTGGATTCCTACCCCACTGCTGATTATTCTCAACAGGGGTGTACATCTGTACAGTGCATGAAAACTTTCAGGATGAAATCCTCAGTGAAAAACTTACTTTTATTTATTTTAATTTATTTTCAATAGATTATTGAATGACGCACGCTGAAAGTCTTACGGCATAGAGCAACACAACTCTCCTAAAAATATCTGAAATTCATGGACAACCACATACGCGGAGAATCGATCCGTGTTAGCGCGGAGCCTACGGGTCTAAGTGTCTCGCACGTTTCTAGCTCCCTTGAGTCATATTAACCAGCGTCCTACCTCTCCGCGTGGTGTAACGGAATGTCAACCTTCAAGGCTTCCCATTGCTACACATTGGTCTGTGCATAGAGTCTGGAGAGGGTACTGAATTCATCCAACAGCCCACCGACTCGACTCGAGTCACTTAATCCTGAACGGTTTCGCCTCTCATGGGGCTCATCAAATAGGCAGTCCCCGAGTTTCCGTCAACCTTATGTTCTACTTGAGCATACGTTTAGGAGCTGGTTTACGCCAATTGCGAAAACGTTTTTGCTGTCAGTGGTGCCAAACCCACCCTTCCATCCTCAACCAACAAACGGCGCCGATGAAGCTTGAGTTACTCTATCTCCTGTGTGGGGGTGGGCTATCTTCAGTTAAGTCATTGATAGCCGCGGCCATAAACAACTGTTCGTGGCAAGACCGGAAGTCTCTAATTTTTGTCTCACGAAAGAGATTGCATGTAAACCAGGGTAATCAACATCAGGTGTCATCAGCTATTTAGCTGCTTTACCGCTTTACAGGACCATCCTGTATACGTTGATGGTAAGAGACAGTTATGTCAGTTGAGTGCTAGGTTCACGCAAGTGCCCAGAACATTGTGCACGCTGTAGTTGAACCAATTCGGGAAAATATGCGTTCCAGCATGATCATCTGCACCGGCCTTGAATACTTCATTAGTCCACCTAATAAGGCAGGCGGACCATATTTTGAAGGTTGTTATTAGGCAGCAGGCCATATGTAAAACGCACCATCTCCATTACGATTGTTTTCGTTCCTGATTTGCATTTGCTTCCGAATTGAGGCAAGTAACAAGGACCCATAAACTCAACAGCACCTTCTTAGGGTTACTGTTTAGGACAGGGGTGAACTTTAGCCTCAGTGACCTAAGAAAGGCACGCGCACAAGTTTGGTCACATTGCAGACCTAGCGACAACTTAGGGGAAGTGACACTTTTAGGACGGGAATGGATGATCCACTATCTTGAGTGTCCGATAGGGCACTCACAAGATCCATCTTGGAAACAAGAACACTGCACCCTTGACACTCGGTTTTCCGGTTTTTAAAGCCACGGGCCAACACTCTGCTCCACTCAGCACCAATTCTTCCCTGTTCCCAGTGAAACTTTTTCCGCGCAAAGTTTCACCTCGCTGTCTCATTTACCCTGTAGAACTCAAGTTTATGTGATTTGAGCTCTATCCTACATGAAAAAATCATTTATTGGGCACACCGTCTTCCTAATGGCACCCGCACATCCCAACTTTTTACTTTGAAGGCCACCAAGTGCGTGTTTCATACAAATTCGCAAGAATATGCTCGGAAGGTCTTCATTACTATGAGACGTTCTCCATAGGTTGGGCAAGAATTTCCCATGAATAACTCGCTGTCAGAAATTCGCCGTTCGAAAGGGATTCCGGAAGCAAACGGTAGCCCGTCTCAGATTACAATCGCTCAGTTATCATTCAATGCTCTCTCATCACCCCAACTAACATGAGGATTACCCTCGCATGTTCGCACCCGATCACTGATACAAATCGAACAAAATTGGACATCTATTAGTTGGTAAATTACGAGGACAGTGCCACTCAATCAAAAGCCGCTTCTTAAAATCCCCTTATTTTTTAGCTGAGTTGCAGGATGAAATCAGCTCGCTAACTACAAACTTCAAGTAATCTGAACAAGGATTTTATAAATCGCATGGGTACTCCATCAGAGTTGTCATTTAGACCGCCAGTCAACGCCAGATTACGAACTGTGACAATGTTATTGGTATCATTTTCCAAATGCAAGTTGACCCCGCTGTCGACCAGCCATTCAAGACTGAATGTCAAACTAATAGCCGGGAGATCGTAGGTTCAAATATCCATGAAGACTCATGGCAGACACCCTGATGATTCCAAGCAGGGGTGAAAAGGTGTGGATGGATTGACTAACATTACAGGAACACCCCCTACTGGTGTCCCATTTGCAGAATTGTATAAGGGCACTTTTACTGTATCATAAAATGGAAACACCCACGCGAACGATGACTAGTTCAGCAATACATTGAATCTGAATAAACAATCCACTGGCACCATCGTGAAGGCCAACCTTATCTTCCGTATCTGCAAAATATAGCCTAGTTCTTGATGCTTAACCAAACAGGAGAGCCTTATTCAGTCTTGAAAAAGCAAGCAAGCCTTTCAGCTGTTCCCCATCTGACAAAAACTTTGTGTATTCTTCAAGAAGGGCACTTACACTTCTGCTTCGTAAGTCTCCCTATGGCTCGCTTGACACTATTGTTATTAACGGTTAATGGTATCCTCTCGCAAAATTTATACCTCCTTGTTCCACTGCAGCTTTTCGTAGCGCCATGGAATTCTTCTATCAATTGCCATATTTGGGTTCAGTCACTCAGATTCACCAATCATGGTCATATATGCCATGATTGGGGAGGCTGTGTTATTCGCCTCCCTCTCTCGAACTTCCCCGCGAACCTCACAGTGAAATGCCGATAACCTTGGTGCCTGCTCTGTATGAGTCATAAACGAAATCTAGAGCAGCTTGTCCGGAGTCCGTCACGACGCAGTCATATATTGCGCGCACGATCAAGTTTACTGCATTCCAGCATAAATGAGGCCATGATCGCGGTACGATGCGATCAGAGAAGTGTCGTGCTAGTCATATTCTCAATGGAGATTTTTCGAACTTACGATATCAACTGAATAGTATCCACCACCACGAGGGGGCAAGTTGCAGTCGTTCCCTAAGTGACTAAGAAGAGGGTGCTAATTACAACTGAGTTTGTCTGGAGTGTTCGAACTTCGCCAACATGTTAAGCAATCAGTTCAGTTCTTTTTAGATTATTGTGCTGCCACAAAGACACTACAGAAATGATCCAGAATAATTTTGACTAGATATTGACCGGTGAGAAACAGAAAACGTAGGAAAACGTGTGAATGGCAATTTGATTAACCGTTCAAACGGGATTCAGAAAGTGTCAAAAAGGTAGTGCAACTAGAATGGTTGGCAACGTTGAAAAAATAAGTTACATGTTGATTTCGAGGGAAAATGCAGTTCTTGTAGAAAACATCACTCTGTTAAAATCAGCTCGTCTAGACTCCAATCCTCAAAACTTCCGTCTGGGAGGTACCTGCGGATAATTATGGGAATTTTATTCGCACGCAGTTCCTTTTCAGCGATTTTTAGGGGATCACGTTCACCATCGAGTTCTACCATGACGGGAGCGGACATAGACAGCTGGAGAGCACGTGCACCCAGCACTCGTGCACGTTCGTATTTTGTCAAGTAGGGTGTAGTTATCCGTTTGCTTTTCTCCACTGGTCCAGTGATGACTGCACCGGAAGCCACTCGAGAAGGATCATCGGCGGATACATATGTTACCGCATCTGCGAGAAGAGATGTTGAAAGCACATCAAGGAGTTCCGAACAAACCAACGGGATTAACAAGCGTGTACCATGGTTCACTAGAAAATAAGTTCACGTACAGACAACGTTTACAAGTGCACTTCAGACGTGTAAGGTCTTTTCTCAGTATTAGTTGCAACACCACTATGACGATAATATTAATCATAGACGGAATTCGTAACGTCATATTCAGATGCCAACGAGCTGATTCAGACTACCCTGGCCAATGACAGAGGTTTCACTTCCAAGAGCTGCAGGATAGTGGTAAGCCTGAACCATTCAGCTAACAGGTAGATGCAAACATTTCATATTGACTTTTCATTGCCATCTATAATCAGCTAAAATCAGTCACGCAATCACAAAAGAATAGAGGGAAGTATGGTTGAGTCTGACGCAGTTGCGTTCTATGTAGTCTTCAAATGATCGTAGTATCTTACACAAATGGCCGAAATTCGACCACATGAAATCCATCTATTGGCGCCAAATCCAACTGTTCACCAGTTTGTGTAAATGCAAGTCCGTCAAGAAGAGACTGGACCTTACCGTGATAACCCACTGAATCATACTAGGGTATCCATGGGACACTCGTAGAGCCTCTCATACCAGGATGGTCAATAATTAAAGGTAGGACGAGTCTCCTGGTCCTCCATGCTAGGAGTTCGAACGTGTGATAAAAATGGTAATGCGCTTGCATTTCCAGCCAGACACCGCTGCCTTGCGGTCAGGCTTTTGAGTCAACAGCTTTGGTTGAAGACCCCAATTGTCCTCCCGACTAGGTTTGGGCCCCCCGGCAGTATCCTAGCCCACGCACAGCCATGATACCTATGTCTTGAAATAAACCCATACCACATCGGGAGTCGCGTGGTGCCATCAGCCGGGTCGTCTAACTCGCCGCATACAGCAGGACGGGTAAGCGAAAACAGACTACTACTAATGCCTCTCTTCTTTCTCTTTCACATTTTTTTCTTTTTCCTCTCGCAACCCCACTAACAACTCTTTACTTGTAAACCCACCACTTGGAACTGATGTTCTTCCTGCATCGGTTTTTTTCAAGCAACATCTAAACATCATCAGGCGCCGAAATCCTCAGGCAACTCAAAATCAATCTTTAAGCCTTGAAACCCAGTCTATCTGGCCGCCTTCAATGTTCGCACACTGAAGTAACCAGGACAACAAGCTGCTCTTGCCCGTACACTGGGCTCACTTGGCATTGATGTATGCTGTCTCAGAAATAAGAATTCAAGACGCAATCACAGTGATTGAGCTAACCGCCCCATCACTCTCTACTCACTTCTGGCGATCCAAAAACTGCAGCGGCAAGATGTGCAGGGGTTAGTATCATCTCAAGTAACAGGGCGGAAGGATATCCGTTGATAGCCGCCTCTGTGAGGTTCGTCTGGAAACGTCTGTGAAGGGGTCTCAAGTGGACGGTTGATCGACATCTCTCTGCCGTCTGCTTACAACCCAACTGGCTGCATCTCTGACACAATCAAAGACAAGTTCTATGACGCTCTGAATGCCTTGTTGCAGCGAGCTAAAAGCTCAGATGTCGTTATGGCTGCCGAAGAAGTGGGTAGGCTTAGCGCACCTGAGACTTAATTAGGAGGTCGGCACGGATTGGACTCGGTAAATACGGACAATAATGAACGATTGCTTCAGCTGTGTTGCTCGCAGACTGATTTTATTCCGAAATAGACTAAGCCGTCTGGCTACATGGTGTGTTCCAACGGCGTGACGACCATAAATTCAAATCGATTACATTGGTGTCAGTTACCGATAGCGCGGATTAATGACTACCGTTCGTTTTGGAACACGTCTGCGAACTTTGACCACGCACTGGCTAGTCCCTTGGTTTTCCAGAGCCACGTAAGGCGAGGGGAATCGCCTGGCAACTGGGAGACTAGCGGATCCGGATGTTAGACAACCTTACCAGAATCGTTTTCTAGAATCTCTTCCAAATACTCCAACGACAGAGGTGAACACATACTGGTACGAGATCCCACCCCTTCGCACAGTGCTGGGGGCGAGATTGCTGTGGTTAGAACGCGAGTTTACTGACCGGAAGGCTCGTGGTTCGAATATGACCTCCGCCTCCTGAGCTCCCGTCTTGGCTTGGGAAACCTGGCAGTATCCCAGCCCTCGTGTTTCCTTCTGGTGGCATGGCAGTTAGCACCGAAGGGTGCTACAGCTGGACGATTTTTACTGCTGGGAATTTCGCCTGTGGCGAGACGCTATCAGGCTCACTTAAGCACTGAATATCAGACCGAACAGCGGCACTGCTTGAGGCCCGGGGAAATATCCCAGCCGGTCCCGAACATAACCTGAAGCGATAAATTATCAGACGTCAAGTGAAAGTGGGCTTGCGAGCCAACAGTGAAGTCTGATGAGGACGGAAATCCAAGGAAATGGAAGAGGTCCAGAAAACCGGTAATGCCCGAAGATTATTTCAGTTGATCCGTCCGACCCTTTCCCGGAAATCTCCTGTGAGCGAAGCGCTCTAGGATCAGAATGGAGTGAGCAACTTGGATAAAGAGGAACACGTCGACCGGTGGGCCGAACACTTCGAATAATAGCCACTGGGGGCGAGATGGCTCAGTGGTTAGAGGGTGAATTCACTAGCCGGAAGGTCCGTGGTTCAAACCCGACCTCTGAATAACTTCCCCTGTCTATGCTTGGGTAACCTGGCAGTACCTCGGCCCTTATGCTTCCTTCGGTTAGCATGGCAGCTAAGCACCAGACGGGTGTTACAGCCGAAAGGTTTTTCCCTTTGGGTGGCATCACAGCTAGGTATCGGAAGGGTATTTCAGCTGACCTATTATTACATATTACAATGAACTGCTAAAAAGTCTACTGACAACTAGTGCAGTTCATAAAAGTTGTTCCCTGTCCCTGTACTGTTCATTTTTTTCACTGGCGTTATCGTAAAACGCACGTAGCAAGTGACCATAAACTTGGGTATAGAAATCAAATCTGGAAACAGATCAATGGACTTGGATTATGAGGACGATATTAGATGTGGTCCAATTTTTACACACATGCTTCGCACCTTCCAAGAGAAAAGTTTGCTCCAAGATTCCCCGTCCATCCGTTCTTCTCTGAAACTTTAGAATGAAGTTTGCCGATCTGTTAGCGTATCGCAGCAGCTGCATAAGCCGTGATTATACCACAAATGAAGTCAATGCACGGGTGATCAAGGCATGAGGAGTGCTAAACAAAGTGCGCCATTTGTGCCGTCATGGACGGATTCCACCGAAGCGAAAGGGCTATGTACAGGGCTACTGCAATCGCAACGATTTTCTTTTTGGGACTTAGATTCTCCTACTCGAAGACTTTAGGATTCTTCGAACAACTGAGCACCGATACGCCGTATTATAACAATATTCAGCTGTTTGCAGCGAGAATGCAACGGAATAGTATCCAAGGGAAAACCTGCAGGTTCCCCTATAGTAACGAATATGGATGTTTAGAGCGGCAGATTAAACTTACTACATTAAGGTGGTCGGGGCACGTACTATTTATGCCTAGCCACCGTCGATTAATGAAATCAATGTTTCCGAATCACCGTTGGCGAATCATTCGTGGAGAAAAGAACATTACGTTATACTGTTATACAAGGAAGATATTGTCTTCAATGCAAGGCACTTGATACATCCAAGCTGGGATTGTAAGTTGAAGTTAGTTGGGCCTTACATCGGCTGATATTTTCGTCTCACCTTGAGTAGACAGTCGGGTGTGATTCGCGCAATGGATCTGTTAGTGTTACGTGAACGACGATAATCACAGAGTCACGATAAGTGAAAGGCATTTTGGGGCTGTTGAACCCTCCTCTCACTTCGTTCACTTATAAAAAATAACACGCGAAACGTTATGTACCCACCCGGTTTCGCTTCAAGTTCCTCTTCCGGGACCTCGTCAAGTATGTCCTCATCCGACTCAAAGTCGTCCGCCCCACCGCCGTAATCGTCGCCCATGACGTTAACAAACCTGTCGGTCGGCAGCCGCCCGGAATAACGCTACATGCTAATTGGTCTATTTCCCTGGTCATGTTATCAGTGCGGCCAATAGACCTGCGATCCGATTAACACATTTACACAAACCAGGTTGTCAAATGTGAGTACATGTTGCGAATGAACTCTCGGGTGGTTTTCAGAGAATAAGCTTCAGCGAGTTTTTGAACATGCTCGAGAAAATGCGCACGATAGTTGCGATCACTATTCCCACAGAGGAATTGAATTCGCGAAAGCTATGACGTGTCCATGATGGGCTAAGTCAATCGGGCAATTGAGTTCAGAGTACCAGTCCAAATTTATAAGTCCCATTTTGGGCATCCCGCGTCTCAGCGATCCTGGAAAATTATTCCACCAGTTTTCCGCCATAGGTATGATTGCTCTAGTGGACAATGCAATTTGGTGAGCTGCAAAAATGATCGTAGATTGTAATGGTTTTTTGGTTTGAGCACATACGCAACAAAATGAAACATTCTGACACACAGGTTTCACTTCAATCGCGAAGGTTTTGCAGTTAAGAGCATTAGGCGGCTGATGGGATCCCAAGTAAGTTGGAACCATTCGCATAGTAGCTATCGGAGGAATTTTTCGGATCTAACAAAACAGTAGTTTCTTAGTGGTCTAAGATGGGTAGCGGGGAAGCTAGACCAATAGTAACGCGAGGTGGTTGGTATCGCTCCGACATTACGATGTCTCGTTGAAGCCACACAATATGCAGTAAGTATTGTGATGCTTCATCACAAAAAAGGAGATGAAGTGAGCGTAAACCATTTTTCCCTCTTACACCTATTTTTATAGGCCAGCATTCAAATACCTATTTGAAATCATTCAACGTTTTATTCGACCGATGAATATACATACAAAGTTTGGTCCGCAAGAACGGGCGGGACTTTCTCCCATAATGTTGTTTTTCGGAGCGTATTTTCCTTAGTACTGCAAGGTTAAGGCGTTCAACCATTCATTTTTAGCCTTCGTTCAATCATTTTAGTGTTCAGGATCATTTTCAAGAGTCACGAAAAAGAGAATATTGGATTCTTTCATTCGAAATTCAATTTGTATATGGTTGCCCTCTTATCGGATACTCTGTACTGTCTAAAATACTGGGGTACAATGCACCGAACCTCCAAATGCACCAATCACGATTGGAATATTCTATCGAGCTGACGATAGTATTAAAAGCACTCGTTCTTCTACATTCCCGCACGCAATGCAACTGTAGCGTATCGGGTCATCGATGTTCTGTGCTTAATTCCGGCCAAATTTCTGCTCGATGCATTCAAGGCAGCCCTGTTGAAAACCGTTGTTGTGTCCCGAGAGAAGCGATTTCAAAAAACGATTGAGGATTTTTTAAAGTGCGAGAAGTAATCCATCCTAAATACAAAGGTTGTGCACTACTCAATGGGTCGCCGAAAGCCCTTTGACAGCCCACGATCGGTTTCGATATCTTTGGGGCGCATCAGGTTAATTGTTCAGTCTATACACCACATTGTGGTATTTCAAATATCGTGATAACTCAAGGTGAGACAGACTTGTACAACATATTTAGTTGAGGAAGGGAGCCATAAACGAGAGGTGCGACCGCGATTCAGTTGATTCTCGTGTGGAAAACAAATTGTTAAGCGAATGGGAGTTTCAATCCAATCCAATTACCGTCGTACATGTGTCTTTTCACTGACAGGGACCAGACAACTCAGAGTAATTGTTAGGCCGATTTCCACGTGGGTCCCGCTTTACCGCTCGCACTGACGTGCTGCTATGTTGCTGCAGCACCCAAATCCGCCTAATTGCGGTCGAGGCCGCAGATGATCGAACCCTGGACTTGCCTTCACCTCAATTATGCAGGTCCAGTGGGTGGTCAAAACTTTTCGATCGTGGTCGATGCTTACAGCAAATGGCCAAAAATTTTCCCAGTGAGCAATCTCACAAATGCTACTACACTCCTGGAACTCCGACGATTGTTCAGTCATTTTGCAACACCAGAAACTATTGTATCAGACAATGGCAGTCATTTTGCGTATGGCACGACACGTGTCCGCTCGCCGCCGTTTCATCCAGAGTATAACGGCCAAGGGGAACGCTTCATCGACACTCTGAAGCGCGCATTTCAGAATTCCAGAAAGGAGAGACCAATGGAAGATATTTTGCAAATACTCCTGCTGGTATTTGGAGCAACGCTAAATATCAGCTCAACTGATGGTGTGTCACCAGCAGAAGCACCGCTCCAACGGGTGCTTCGGACACCGCACGACACAATCCAGTCACAAAAAGGCAGGCTGGTCACCGCAAAACAATCATGGAGAAACAGTTCAGCCGGTAGCATGGAGCAACTGTGCGCTCATTCACCGAAGGCCATAAAGGTTTGGGTGGTGACTACCCCGGCAGACAACCTAACTAGACCCCAAGGCTCATCCTTCGCCGGCGCGGCAAAATGCACCACGGGATTCAAGTTCGTCCAGCCGAGTGGAGCCGCGGAGATCTCGGTAGACGGTTACTCTATTTTTCGAGCTGACTCAAAACGAAGGAGTTCTGGTGGGGTTGCTCTGTACTTACATGTGGCCCTACCAATCCCGATTGTCCTCTCTGACACCACCCCTGCACCCTTTTGCGACGGACTGAGGGTCCAAATCCTGCTGCGCGGGTGCGATTCTCCCATTCTCGGCGTGGTCTACCGTAGTCCTTCGGGTCCCCCTGAAGATAACCAATTCCTCATACAAACACTTGAGCAACTCTCCTCCAACTACCACTTCACCCATTTCCTGCTAGTAGGTGACTTCAATGGCCCAAAGGCCCCCTGGATTGAGCTCCAGCGCGTCAAATCAGGCGGACTTTTTGCAGCGGCATTGTTTGAAGTCGTTCAACAGAGCGCTTCGACCCAACATGTCGTTGCACCCACCAGATACCGCGGAGCAACTACCATCCCTCCCGGATTTGGCCATCACCAACGAAAGACACTTCGTTGATCAGGTAACAATTAACGCTCCACTGGGACATAGCGACCACTGTGTGCTAACCTTTGATTTCATCTGCTATTGGGCCAGAAATCCCAAA